GGGGGGGACTTACAGTCCATGCCACACCCCTCACACGCCAAACCACTCTGCATTTGGCGTTCAGACATAACTACACGCACACAGAACACAACCGCTCCGGCAGGTGTTACAGGACAGAGAGACTGGGCGTGGGCGGGGCCAGGAGCAGAAGCCACTCCCTTCCTCCACCGCAAACCAATGCACTTCCAGGTGGCATTCAGACATCACTACATGCACCCAGAATACACAGGTGGAACAGGCGTTATTGTTCACGCACACTGTACTGAAATACTGTCCCAGACATTACTGTACTCGTATAGCCTCTGAACCTCAGTAGTGATGACTGTACACTCCTACGGTTTGTCAGGCTTTCTTCCCCAGCCTGCGTCTCAAACACAGCCTTTTAGTTCTGTAATTAATGTACACTCTTTACTGGAAGCTGCACCAGCTGGGTGAGAATCGCATCCTCGCCCCTGCTCACTCCCTCTCGCCGTTTCTTCGCCGAGCCGCGAATCGGTCCGTGGTGGCGATGGCTCGGCGGGGACCCGGCGGCCGCGCTCTCCGCCGGGCGCGGTGTTGCTCGCACTCCCGCGGCCCCCCGGGTGCGAGTGAATCTCGCCTCTCGCCTCTGGCTCTCGGAGAGAGGCCGGGCGTGCACACTCCATGAGCAGACGGGCGTGACTTGCAGCTTAATTGATGGTGGCTTTGCATGCGTGCAGCTGCACGTCACCTTTCGTATTCCTGGCTATGAGTGGTCAGATCCATGCTCTCCCACTTGTCCTGCCCCAGGGGGTCCCACACACCCGACTTTCCTGAGCTGTGACAGTTGTACGGCTGGTAGATGGGCCGGCCGTCTGTGACACAGTTCAGAATTGCTGGAGACCGTTATTTAGTAACATAACGCAGAGAGCAGAGTGAATCGGACACACACGGGGCTCTGTGGCAGGAGGGCGACGGACAGACACTCCCTGTGGGCTCAGTGTAGTCTGTTCATTCACAAAGCAGCATTAACGTTGGCCTTCGCATTCCTGTCCGTCTTAAACTGGAGGACAGACTCGCCTGGCCTCACTATATAAAGATCACTCTCGGATTGTTTTCGCATTGAACTGCAAAATAGTGTGCTGCACAACAAAACATTTATTCGGTTAAAAAAACTCCAAGCAGCCATCTTAATGAAGTTATTCAGGCATTTCCAGGCATCTGGAAAGCCAGGCATTTGATTATTAATTGTGGTAGAGAATTTAAAAACAGCTGTTGTCAGCTCAGATGTGTGTGCAAGACAAACTATAGCTATAATCCGCATGTTGCGGTAAAACTCTCATGTTTATGTGGTAACTAGGTCATTCAGATGAATTTCAGATTTCTGCTACAACACGTGGAATGGAGAAATCTCTCCAGGCTGCTGCTGACCAGGATTTGTGCCTGTGCGCTGTGTGCTGTGTGCTGTGATGTCTGAATGCTACAGGTCCTCTATAACTCCAGTGACCTGCGCTGACCTCTACACCCACTGCTCCACGACCCTCTGTGCAATCGGACCGGTACAGAGTTCTGATGGATCTTTGCTCCTGTGAAACAAGGAACTGAATCGTGACAAATTTGCAAAAATGGGAGGGAAGGGTCCCCCCATGGTTTTAATCGAGAGCGGTTTTCCACGGCCACGCCGAGACTGATTCATCATAATCGTCCCACAGCTCTGCACTTGAACCACAAAACGCCTTTTTGTTCTGACCTTCTTTCTTTTTTGTAATCTGTTTCCGTTTAGGGATGAAACTTGTTTTTCATGGCCTGCCTTCGTAGCATACTCGCTTTGCTAAAAGCACGTTGTGATCTGTGATCATTCGTTTGTAACCTCGGGGAGTTCTGGGGCACGCAGCGCTCGGTAATTGTTTAAAATGTCTGAGCCCCACTGTACGGCTAATATGCTTTCTTCCTGCGATTGAGGTGGTCTTCATGAGTCCTGGTGTAACCTGGACTCCACACTCACCCAGTCACTTGTACTGTGACAAGTCTCTCTCAAGGGTGCAGTGGTTGACATCTGTGGGTCTCTCAATATATAACTGTACGGTAACAAAACAGCTCCTTTTTGTTAAACGGGTGTCAGGTGTCTGGGCTACTGCTTTGCTGACTTTGAAAGAGAAGACTTTTCTGCATCTGAAGCTACCGACTCATTCATCTGACTTTCCTGTAAGTGGATAGAGATGCGAGTCCTTCAGCTCGTATTAAAAGGAGTGAGCATTTGTGTTTTGCATGGCTATTGGCTTTTTGTTGACATTGTGAAAAGTTGTAACTGAACACTTGCTGAACTTGTACCTGTGACATCCGCAGGGATTGAACTTCTCTTTTAATGTCAGCGTGGATCTCTCACTCCCGAAATTCAGTATGTTTAACTGTAGCACTTAAACCCTGAGATGGTTGATTCTCCTGATGTCTGTAAAATGTGCTTAACTTTCTCTCTTTTTCCTCCACCTTAAAAACAACAGATTTCTTACAAGTAGAGGAGAGAAGGGCTCTGGATATGTGCTGTTCACAGAGATCTCGAAATAAACTGACTTCCTGTTTCTTTCAACTGTGATATTAATTAAGTATTTATCGGTAAAATAAAATATTTTTATTGTGGAGGACTAAACAAGAGTGAGGAGTCTTTCCTTTCGGTTTAAACCAAGATCAAGCAGAACTGATAAAACGCACTTGGTCCAGTTAACTCGATGAATGGCTCAAGCTCGTACATGTCCCTCACATGCACACAGCAGGTGCACTGGTTTAGGTGTGTCCCAGACTGTAAAGCTCCTCAAAACCAATCCAGTGTTCTACTGAATCCACCCATCATGGGCAAGCTGCCTATTCCTGGTTAGATTCCCAGATACCTGGAGATCAAACGATACAGGCTACACACTGGATTGGGGGGGGGGGGTGTCAGGCACAACTCAAAAGTTTTTGCTATATCCAGTGCCTCTAGGAAGTCCACTTGCCCTTTCCAAAGTTACATATTTTGTGGCCTAACAGTCTGAAATCAAGACGCCTTAAAGATGAATTTACTTGACCTCTTGTTCACGTTGTAAGAACACTGCTGTTACACCAAGTGAACAATAGATTCTAAAACACTTTGAAATGGAGTCGGTAAGTGTTTACAGTCCTTGGTGACAGCAGACTGCAAATGAGCTCTGGTGTAACCAATAACCTTCCAAATCGCATAAGCTCATTGGCCTTCTCCTATGTTCATCTGGAGTGATTCTGTTTTCAGAATAAAATCAGCTATTCCTGCAGGTTTCCTCTTACTGACGGTGTCCTGGGATTATCCTGTTTTGAGCAGTAGTCAGGACACCAGGATTAACACCCCTACTTTTACCAAAGAGATTTTTCACAGCATCTCTGTACAGACTGTCAGACCAGTGTCCAGTTCAAAGCCCAGTGGGCCACGTCAGTGAATGACACCCAGCTGGTGGTACTGGCCTGGATTGCTTCGTTTCATCATCATGATCTCATGGTGTGTTCTGCCGAAACAGTAATGCGCGTGATGTTCTCTGACAACGGACTACAGTTATTTATGTACTGTACGTCTCCTGGTCTAGGAGGCGCAGTAGATAAATGGACAGGAGCCCCTGTCGGCTCCCATGCGATCCTGTGGGGTCAGAGAACAGTTAGACGTGCTTCAGGTTCAGGAGGCTGTGTGGACAGCGCAGCCAGCGAGTGGCTCCTATAAAAGCTAACATCAATCATTCCCCCCGTATATACACACATACGGTAAACAAGAGCGGTACACCATGCATTACTGCAAAGTCTTTCACAAAGCCCTACGCAGAACATGACCCACTAACAGCAGAGAAGATCAGCAGTTCCAGTTATTTATCACGTCCTACCAATCACCTCTTGCCGTAAAGTGTAGCAAGCGCGTCGTAAAGACGACTGCGTGTGACGACAGGCCGGGTTGTAGTACCGACAGAAACTGGCGTGTGTGCAGTAGCTCAGTGTTGGTTAAACGGAAAATGTGATTATACCGCACTTGTAGGATTCGGCGTTATATTGTGTAATCCGAGACAACTCTGTAACAGCGAGCAGGTAAAAATGAGTTTTAACCTTCATTGCTTTTTCCTGAAACAAGTGCGGTAGTGATTTTTTTCACTCAGTTTATCATCGTTAGCGTTTTGTCATTACTAGTGTAAACGTTCCTGTTCGGACGTTGGTTTTGAGCTACCAGGAAGGATATAAAAGGTTAGTTAAGTATCGAATCACGCTGTAGGATAAATTCGACTTTCTGACTGCGGACAACGAAGGTAACCGAAGCGAAGCCCCACGTTTTCTCGTCTGGTAATCAGGAGGTTATTGATCTCTTAAGAGGCTTCTTAACACGTTTGGACACCACCTTCGGACAAGACTCAAGAGCTACTGTTCCTCAACCTGTCCAGCCTGTGCAACAGGGTAAGAACTGGAAGCACTGTGATCTCTTTTGTCACTGAACTCTTTCAAGTATAGTACATACTGTCAGGACATTATCTGTATACCACATGCATATACAGTATATGCCATTTAGAATATTTGTGTTCTGCAACACAGTGAATGGTTAATGTGAGTAAAAAGCTTTTAGATTTCGGACTGTGCCTCAGCGTTACCTTTAACGCCTGTGTGTCCCGTCAGATGTCTTGCTGAACTAACGCTCGGACCAGTTGCGCATCGTTTTGTTTCACTTTTGTGTTTTCGGTCTGTAACTGGAGATTTTAAGGTTTGTTATTAAGTCGGCGGCTTGTGCAGGACTTGACCAGCAACCTCTTGCATGACCGCAGAGCGAGCTGAGCTAGCCCAGGGCTCGGCCGGTCGCCGTGTGATGTTTTGAAGAGTGCTGAGCCCTGGTACAGCGGGGGGGGGGCACAGTCTGGCACATTTACACGCGTGTCGAAAAGCGCTGCAGCCCGCGTGAGCTGGGGCGTGTGTGATGAGGGGTCCTGCGTGCCGTGGCAGGAGGGCAGGGGCCCGGGGCTGTCGGCGGCTGGTCTGCGCCCGTCCTGCGCAGGAGCTCTCCCCCGTCTCGGACCGTGCGCTGGAGCCGGGATGTTCGTGGTGGTGGAGATGGTGGACACCGTGAGGATCCCGCCCTGGCAGTTCCAGCGGCAGCTGAACGACGCCATCGCGGAGGAGCTGAACAAGAAGCTGGCCAACAAGGTGGGGGCGAGACGGAGCGAGGACGTGCCTCCTCTCCTGACACACAGAGACGAAGATACCGACCCTCTCAGAGCCTGCACTGACAGAGAGAATACGAACATCTTCATTTACTCACTGTTCCTAATAAAGTGGCCACACCCCCTCACCCTCTCTGCTGACACACCACAGTGCATTACCAGTGCATGACCCTGAAGGAGAGGCAGTGATGCAGATTCACTCACTGCCCACGTACTGTGGTGTGCTGCCACTACACTGAGCCTAAGAGAGAAAGAGTGCAAACATTTTCATTTCCTAGCTGTTCCTAATAAAATGGCCGCACCCCTGCACCCTCACAGTTGACATAACACAGTACATTACTAATGCACTTAGCCTGGAGGAGAGGCGATCATACAGACGTGCTCGCTGCCCACGTGCTGCAGTACACTGGCGCTGGACTGAGCCTGAGACAGAGTGTGATCATCTTCGTTTGCTAACTGTTCCTAATAAAGTGGCCACACCCCCTTACCTTCTCTGATGCAGGTGGTGTACAACGTTGGCCTGTGTGTCTGTCTGTACGACATCACCAAGCTGGAGGACTCCTACATCTTCCCAGGTGATGGGGCGTCCCACACTAAAGGTGAGAAAACTCTCCTGATCTGCAGTAGGACCTTCGAGGGCAGAAGCTGCCTCATGATCAATAATACTTGGGAATCTGTCTCTTAGTTTCTCGTCGGAGCCTGTGCTGATATTTCAATCCCTTCCCAGCTCAGTCCAGACATAAATGTTGTTTTAATATTTGAAATGTGACCTTTATCTCCAGGACCAGGGACTCTGTCCCTCAGGGCTGCTGGGCTTGTGTTTGTAAGACATTGTAGCAGGGAAAGACTGTGATGAGCTTGTAGGAGCAGAAGCAGAAGTCTCTGCCGGAGGGTGATTTCAGTGTTTTCTGGGACCTGATCCATGCTGGGATGTCAACAGTGTGGAAATAGGCACTGCTTGTGGGATACAGGAAGTGAAGTCGGGGGGAAGGTATTTACTGTTACACTGATGAAAAGGTCTGGTTTGGTCAGCTGTGGGCTGTGGTGCTTGTTCTGTTCCTGCTGGCTGGCTGACTGTCTGTCCCGCTGTCAGTCCATTTCAGGTATGTGGTCTTCAAGCCGTTCCTGGATGAGATCTTGATCGGGAAGATAAAGTACTGTAGCCAGGAGGGTGTGCACGGTGAGGGAGGTGCCTGTCTGTCTCTCTGCCTGCCTGTCTGTCTGATTGTCTGTCCTTCTGACTCTGTCTCTTGTCTGTCAGCCAAGACTTAGCTGCCTGTCTGTATCACCTCTCTGTCAGTCTACATCCCTGCAAATTCAGGCGGGGAGCTGCGTCAGCATGCGTAGGCTGCAAAGGAACAAGTAATAGGTTTATTCCATGCTGAAAAAAAGAAGAAAGAGAACACGAATCCCTGTAAATTGTCAGTTTAAAACAAGCCGAATAAATGCAGAAATGCATCAAATGCAGAAAAGTGTGTCTATAGGAAGCCCTCTGTGTCAGTGCGGTGTGTCTGTGTCAGTGCGGTGTGTCTGTGTCAGTGTGGAGTGTGGTCACTATGGTGTGTCTGTGTCAGTGTGGAGTGTGGTCACTGTGGTGTGTCTGGGTCACTGTGGTGTGTCTGGGTCAGTGTGTTATCGTGTGTTTTAACCCCCTGCTGTCTCTCCCTGTGTTTCAGTCACTCTGGGGTTCTTTGATGACATCGTTATCCCCCCAGAGTCCCTGCAGCAGCCGGCAAAATTGTATCCTGCTAGCACTCGTGTCTTACTGAGAGAGTGGACAGTGTGGGGTGGTGAGGTGTGTGAGAGAGTGGACAGTGTGGGGTGGTGAGGTGTGTGAGAGAGAGTGGACAGTGTGGGGTGGTGAGGTGTGTGAGAGAGAGTGGACAGTGTGGGGTGGTGAGGTGTGGGAGAGAGAGTGGACAGTGTGGGGTGGTGAGGTGTGGGAGAGAGAGTGGACAGTGTGGGGTGGTGAATCTGACCGCACTTAATGACAGGGGAGAGGGACATGTGTGTTCTGTCCCTTTGGGCCTATAGTGTGCAGTGTTGCAATGTGAGTGTGCATTGCACTGTGTTTTTGTGCGTGTGTGTGTGTGTTGCGGTGTGCAGGGCTGTGAGAGTGTGTGTGTGCTTGTGTGTGTGTGCAGGGCTGGGCGTACTCCTGTCCAGCCTGTGTTCCTTGACCTGTCCAGCGACGAGGCCGAGCAGGTGTGGGTGTGGGAGTACGAGACGGACGAGGGCGCCCACGACCTCTACATGGACCAGGGGGAGGACGTCCGCTTCCGGGTCGTGGACGAGGTCTTCGTGGACACGTCCCCCAGCGGCCCCGTCACCGCGCCGACCGAAGCCCCCGGCGCCGCCACCACCGCCGGCGCCGCGGACGAGGGCGGCCAGAAGAAGGAGGCGCCCTACACCCTGATCGTGAGTGTGGGCGGGGCCGGGGGGCCGGGGGGCCGGGGGGCCGGACACACTGATGCTCGGACACACACCGGGGGAGCCAGTCAGCCCCTCAGGCTCGTCCCAGCGCTCACGGCTGACTGAGCTGAGGATCGCCCAGCGCCTTCCTGGAAGACGACGACTGGGCAGCTTGTTCCCCACTCCCACCACCCTTTGTGTAAAGAGGCGCCTCCTGTCCTGACCGCAGGATCTCAAAATCCATCCACAAGATATTGGCTTCAACAGCAAGGCTGGCCAGCTCCAGTCAGTTACTGTACATTATTGATGCTGTATACACAAGCAGTGC